TTGGTCATAAGGGTTTAAATTACATTCAACTTAATCATAATAGCACATTTTACCAGCAAAATAAAATTTTCAAAGATTCAGCTCATATTGCTTTAAATCATGTAAATTGTTGAGGGAGCTTTTCTTTACCTCATTCATCCTTGGCAGGATACGCATGACCTCCCCTGACCTTGTGCTGATGACGATGTTACTTCCCAGTGCATCCAGGACGTCTACGCTTTCTATTTTCCTACAAGTGAATCAAGTAGATTAGGAAAGAGGCAAAATTTATTTAAAATTTAGATTACAACAGAAATTAAAGATGACAAATATCAATTATTCCAGTAAATTCAAGTAAATCTTGCTTCAGTGTAAAATTTGCAGTTTTTTATGAAGTAGAGAATAGGCCTGGTAAACATTCATTGAAACTAAAATATTATGCTGGAAAATATGCAAATTATAAATGACTTTGATGACCTCCTATAAAGGGGCATAACTCCTAATGTTTACCTTGTTTCCCAGGGCCTAGCAGTGAAGGCGTAGGGTTTAGAAGTTAAAGCTCCAACGGGACACAGATCTATGACATTTCCCGACAGCTCAGATCGAAAGAGTTTTTCCACATAGGTTCCGACCTGCATGTCACTTCCTCTTCCTGTTGTGCCTAAATCATCTACTCCTGCCACCTCACTTGCGAACCTGAAATAACAGAATTCTTTTTTATCTTGTAAAAGCTTTAAAAAATTCCATTAAAAAATTTCAGGAGGGAATTTATATTCAATTTTCTCTGTTTTTGTTCCTAATGAATAAAAAAAAAAAAAAAAATTATTGGTTTGCTTTTTTAAAAATTCTTCTTTAACTATTCATGTGAAGAAATCATCATATACCTGATACAGCGTGTACAGTGAATACATCTGGTCATTATTGTTTTTACCAGAGGACCAATATTTTTATCCTCCACTGCCCTGAAAACACAAAAAGCCTTAAATTTAATACAGTTAAAAATATTATTCTCTCTCTTTATATACATGTATTACACCCTTTGTATTCTTGCAGTTTATTTTCACAGTTTAAATTGTCAGGATTTCGGTTGAATAAAATTGCTGTAATTATTTACTCTATATTTAGCTGAACCTGGTTTGTTAGATCAGGGGTACAATTTGATTTCTATAAGCATACATTATTGGACTTAACATGGCTAAAACATTATTTATCTATTTTGTTAAATTCTTACCTTTTCCCAGCAAAGTTGATATCAGTAAATCTACTTCTGTCACTGCCAAAAACCATGGACTGATCCTGTAACAAGATGCCAACACATAGAGACAAATAAAGTTAACAAACCTCATGTTTACAGAAAGTCTAACTCAGAATATAAGCAACATCATTTTTTATTGTTTAATTCCTTATCACAAACCCCAGCCTCCCCAAAATCTGCATTGGTGAGTAGGGGATCCGTCTATTAACAATACCTCACCTGTAAATCACATTCTCCTCCCTGGTCACAGATAGGACAGTCCAGGGGGTGGTTCACCAACAGAAACTCCATCACACCCTCCCTGTACAGGTACAGAATCAAACAAAATTACAGGTACATGTATGTCAAATTTCTTACTAAAGATTTCTTATATAGTTGACACTTCTCATCTAGTTACCTGGTGTTAAGAAATATTTTATAAACATTTCATCCACTTCATAATCATTAGGCATAATAAATATTGGATGTAATAATTTCACATTTTTTAATGTGGAATCTGCCTTCATTCACTCTATTTCATTATAAACTGTAAGGCATTTTTGCGGATATCTATGGAAGAACAATTGTTGTATAACTTGCCGTGCTTTTTTGGACAATTCCGAGTCTGTTTTCACTCTCATTCCTTTCATGACAGGTGCAGCACATGATGCAACAGGCTATAAATAAACAAAAATAAACACCTAGTTTATTTTAAACTCTTTCTTTTACAAACTGACCTTTCAATATTATGCCCATTAGTTTATCTTGTGTGTGCTTAGAAAGGCATTTACTCATTAATACATTGTTTGTATCTTTCTTGGAAAAAAAACTTAAGAAATTAATTTCTCGTATATGGTACCTTAGCTGATTTCTCCACTTCTACGAGACACATCCGGCAGTTACCGGCGACGGAGAGTCTCTCGTGATAACAGTATCGGGGAATCTGGACCCCACCCTCCGCACAGGCCTGTAAGATACGAAGAGATATCAAGCAATCATCTACACAGAAAGGAAATTTGAACTGGAATTTCACATTATTGATAATTCCTAACATTCAACTTTTCAAGTGCTTAGTAAATCTTTCATTTCATATTTGTATTCAGAATCTCTTAAAATGCATGGAATACTGCATGCAATGTTAACTTTTTGTACCACATAAAATATTGCGAACGAGTCAGCTTTCATGATACATTTCAAGCAGAGTGAGTTTCTAATAAACAAGGAGGATTATATTATAATAGGAATCTTTTTTTTTTTGGAGGGGGGATAACTCACCTGTAAAATGGTAGTGCCGGGGTAGACATAAACAGGCTTATCATCAATAAATACTTCTATTTTCTCTGGTTGTGTGGCCACTGATGTACTGCATCGAACTGTTTATCGTAAAATAATTAATATATATTACTGCTTGCACGTGATAAAATTTCAAATCCCTGCATTTTACCCTTGGGAAATGAGAACAGATGATGAAAAATTTGAAATCCATGCCATGTTTACATTATCTGAGTGTAATGATTACAAATATTTTGATAAGTCATAGATGATGAAATTTTAAAATTACAAGCATATTGCCCTTGAAAAATGAGTACAAAGATAACCAATTCGAAATTCATGTTCACATTACCTGGGTGTTTCAGCAAGTTCTGAGCTGAAAGAGCCCGGGCCAGGGGCCTTAACCGCATCATTTTGATCTCTATAAAGACAACAAGCATATTTTATTTTTATAAAGAGATTAAAGTTTTTAAAAAATCAAAACATGGTGTGTTTGTGAAACACTAATTTTCTCTATATGGCAACAAATGCTGAGTTAAAGTCCTAAAACATGTATGTCATCTCTACATATGCTCTAAATTCAATGTCAAGAGGTCAAAATTATTGGTAACAAAAGACGGAATACAAAAAAATTACAATCGATTATCGGTAATAATCGGCTAGGCATAATTGATTAATAATCGATATCATTATAATCGAAATGAAATTTTTAACTTAAACGAAATAAATATATATCCTTCCATGTTAAAAACATTCATCACTATTTTTATACTCTTTGCACTTGAATTTGGTAATTAAATTAAAGTATGACAATTTCATTTTTTGTCAGCAATGTCAGCCACATTTATTTTTTAACTGATTAGTACAATAGTAGCATCGGAGAGATCTCAACGGTCGACAATCGTTCCATCACCATAGCACCACCATTCAATTGTTATGGTCAAGATTACACTAGATTTTGCAGATAATCAGTCAACCAGATGGAGACAGACAGAAAAAAAGTGGCATGCACTTGTATCTTTAATTATCATGATAATAGTTGACTAAGACTACTCCACATGTAGTTTCGTCAACATATATATAGAACTACTTCAAAAAGGGTCGGATTTAACATTAATAATGTAATATTAGGAGAGATTCCTTTGTCAAAAAATTATAGAATTGTAAATTTTATTATACTATACACTAAACAATATATCTTTACTTGTTTGATGCAGAAGAAAATGCCAAATTTTAGTGCACTCTTATGTCACCTAAGAATCAAATATAATGTCGAAAGATTTGTTTCAATCCAAAAGAATAAAATTGTGTATTTTAATTCCATATGGTCTACATGGAAACCTGTTTTTGATGAGTGACAGTTCAAATTTCATTTACTATGTTTACTGTTTTTTTTTCCCTTTTTTATCTCTATTTTATCCTCATATTGTGGATAAAAGAATATATATTTAACAATTCGGATAATTTATGCACAATTTAATAAGGTGTTGGAGGAAAAACTGACAAACTGAATTTACATGTATTATTTTTTTCCCTCTCTTTTAATATTATCTATAGATGGATAGTGGATAGTGTGAAAAGGTGAGTGTGCATGTGTATGGGATAAATGTAAATATCTTTCAGCTGTCTCTTTGTTTATAATGAGAAAAAATATAAATAAAATTAAAAAAAAATTATCATGATAATAATGGCATAAGAAAATTGTCTAATCTACATAATGTGCCGTTGTTTCAGTCTACAAGTGAATTCAAATAAAACAATTTTGTTCTAGGTCTACAGTATCATCTTTATAATTTCCTCAAATTATGTTAATTGAAAATTTTACGGGAGATATTTTTCTCATAAGGTCAATCCTAGGTCTGTAGTATGTTATGCAACATGCATATGAATGCAACATGAAAATGGGTTTGTGAAGTGAGAGATCATAATCTGTGAAATAAAAGACCATGATTTATAGTATCTATTCCATTCAACATTAAGGCAAAGTTGAACAAATCATGTGAACATATCAAAGGACGATATATTTGTTAAAAAGTCGTTATGAAACTATGTTCAATATTAGAGGAAATTCGAGTAGAGTGCAGAAATGTTTAATTCATTTTCATATTGCACATATTTATGACAATCTCTCATTGCATTCGGTTTGGTGACTACCAGTTTTAAGGAGCATAGGTATTTTACTTAGATTTCAAATAAATAATGATGACAAATAGTTTAAAAACTCAGTTTGGTTTGTAGCAGTTTCTCACCTTGGCCAATTCAGAACCGGAAGTAATAACCACAAAGATGGAAGCGGCAATAAACGAAATTAGCCAACTTCAAGAACAATTCATTCACAACACTAAAAACAGCTGAGTTTAGATCCAAGTTTTCATTTTTATCAAAATTGATTTTCTGAGCTTTGTCAGAGAAATCCTCATGATAAAAGGGGAAAAAATTGCTACTAAAAAATTAAAGTTGGAAAATATTCCAATTATATCCGGAAATAGTATTTCCAAGCTTTCCGTCTCATATTTGGCCTTTTCCGGGCGAGACTACCGGCGTGAGAACACGTTGTTGAACACAAGTAGAAAACTTATAGAAAATGGGTTTTGGAGATCTTAAAAAGAAGGATGGCTTAACAGCACTCAATGCATATCTTGTGGACAAAAGCTACATCGAGGGGTTGGTGAACTTGGATGTGTTTAATAGTGAAGAACCATCAGTCGAAAGGGGGGGGGGGCATTAAAAAGATATATTTATTTTCGAATTAAATAACGAAAGGGTTCTAATGTTGCAATAAGTAGTTCTTACAAGAAAATCTCAATAAAGTCCTGTCAATAATTTGAAAAATAGAGCTGTTTTAAATTCTTTTCTAAAATTTGAATTTTGTGACATTTGTCAATGAAAATTTCCCAAAGCAAATAAGAGATTCTCAAGGAGAGGGGGTAACTGATGGAGGCCAGGCATGGGGATGTTTACTCCTTCACTGCACATAATCCCACCTCTGATGCTTTGAGAGTTCTGTTTGCTCCACATCCGATTTTTTTTTGTTTTATTTGGACTTTTGAGCCAGTGATTATTGTGTGTGATCCCAAAAATTGTAGGAAATCAGTCTTTATGATAAGTTTTCTGATAAGCAATTTTTTGCTAAGCTTGCTTCTCAGAGGCAGGTTGTCCCTAAAATGAATATAGCAAGGGATGTCATTAACGGATTAGAAGGGGATCTAGGCTTCCCAAACAGGGAAGTTAGGGGAAATATCAAAGTAATCCGAGAGTTATGTCATTATAGGCAGGGAACTTCCACATTCCCTGTGACAACCCTGTAGAGCAATAGTGCACTGATAAAAATTACTAGTAATATCCTGTGGCCAAAATATTCGCTTTGAATATTTTTTTACTGCAGCATGGAGCACATGTAACTGATTCCCATATGAGAGCAGTTCTTCATTTGAAATCTTCATTCCATAAACATGTTGACATAATTATACTGTACTTTATATTATAACTAATTATAGCATGTCTAGTAAATGAGAACAGTCAGTGAGAGAATAAAATTGATATGTTACTTCATGCATCAAAGAAATAATTTAAAAGTGAAAGTTGGGCATGATTTTGTTCATCCCTTGAAAGTTTTCAGGTACATGTAGCAGTTTTAACAAATGATATATATAGTATTATTTTGAATTTGTAGATACCAACCCTCTCAGGCAGATGCTGTTGTGTTTGACGCCCTCTCAGGTCCGCCGCCGGCTGATCTAGAAAACGCCCTCCGCTGGTACAACCACATTAAATCTTATGGTGCTGGAAGATCTTCGTAAGTCCTTTCTTCTTAAATTTAATTAATATTTGTGTGACAGATCGGGCTCGGGATGCTAGATGGATTACGTCACCCGGACTTTATCGTAGTTTTCTACGATAGCGGCCGAGGGTAGTCCGGGTGATCCTAACTATATAAAAGAGCGTTCTGCTGAAAGCTGGCAGTTGCCAGTTGGAGCTCACAAGTGACGGTCGGCAAAAGCGTAATTGCAAGGTACGGGATTTTAAAGGATTTAATACAGTATACGGTGGCTAGTATACTGGGTCTAAAGTATTATAGTATTTTGAGGGAATAAAGTGATAATTTACCTCATATTAATTATTTCATCTGTCTGGGTACAAGACAGAAACCTGAAACGTACCTATCATAAGACCTATCCGAGTCCCGGATCGAGATACATACCTGTCCTGATACTGGTACAGATACATCCAGGACACAGACCAGATACATACACATTAATTGTTGTTTATGATAAGGATAGGAAATCCTAATAATATATGTATATATTGACTCGTTTGCTTTTCATATATGCTTTGTCATCTATCATTTCATATCATTTGTCTAATTAGTGATCTATCTCTTGTTTACATAATCATTTGTTTAATTCATTTGGTTGATTAAGGATCTATACTCAAATTCACGGACCCATACACGTTACATTTGTAAATTGTAATACTGCAGCTATGAGGCTGTAAAAATATCATTATTGTGGCCAAATATTGCCCACCTGTGATAATGGCCAAAGGGGCTAAAATAAAATGAGAGCAAAAATTTCTCGGTAATGTAATGTGAATTCACCAGTTTAAGTCATTGAGAGGGTTATTTAGACAAAATACTGTAGATTCCTTAATATACGTTTGGAATTAATTATCGCGTAATTTCGTGACAAGCACCACATCCTAAATAAAATTACTTGCCTTTATTTTTATTATGGTGCTGAAATCTATGTAAAATCTCCTGACCAACCGTCTATTCGCAAATTATTATTCTCGCGATTTGACGTTGTACAGTCTATCCAAAAGACATCGGACTGTCGGACCTGACTGATGTGCAGTGCCTCTGGTCCGATGCGTCAATTTTTTGCACCGGACCGGAATGTCCGATGTCTCAGAGTAAAAAATAAATGTTGTCGACATCGCTGACAAAAAATAAAATAGGCATTCTTTAATTTTTTATTACCAAATCCAAATGCAAAGAGCTTAAAAATAGTGATGAATGTTTAAAACATCGAAGGAATCACTGCCATGTTCTTTTTTTTGCCAAAATGATTGAATACAGGGTCAGACTAATAACAGGAAATGGACAATAATACGATGTTTCACTATACAAAGGAAAACATTTTAAGTGTAGACAATATGTAAACGTTACTGTGATCAAGAACAACAAGTCTAGTCTCTGGATAACTACTGTAAAACTTGTAATCCCAATAAATAAATACATGTAATGAAGGTGGGACTAATATCAGTAATATACCCATTGACTGGAATTCTTAAAGAAATACATTCCCATTCTGTTTCAAGATATTGATTTTGTTTAAAGTAATGAAGTATTATTTTCAACTTTTTAAAAAGAAATGTTATTAAATTTTTTTGAATATTATATGTAAATAGGTAAATGATTTTGTTTTGTAAAAACCTGACTGAAATTTGAATAAGTTTAATAAGTTTAACTTTTCTACGATTATTAATCGATGATGCCCAACTGATTATAACCGATAATCAATTTCCATCACTAATTTTCACGTGTTACATTTGTTTACATTAGATTTTTCGGTTTGACAAAATTTGATTCAGTCCTGTGTGTTAATTGATTAAACAGGACCGAATGTCCTGTGTGGTAAAAAAAATTTCGCATAGACTGGTTGTAGAGCCCATTCACGATATTAAGTACTTGCGAAAAATAAGGAATTTACAGTATATGTGTACATGCAGGTTCCCCGGACAGAAGAAAGACGTCTCAGCATATGGAGCAGCAGGAAAAGGTGCCCCGGCTGCAGGCGGTGACGATGAGGATGACGACGACATCGATCTCTTTGGCTCCGATGACGAAGACGCCAAGGCCGAGAGAGAAAAACGCCTCGCCGACTATGCCGCCAAAAAAGCCAAAAGTTAGTATGAATGCCGTACAATGCAGAGGATATTGTAAAGACATACAGTTATTTTGTAATATAGAAAAAATGCATAAATTTATATGTCATTTTACAATTTAAAACAATTTTTTCCATGGACCTAGCATTTATACATTCAAGTTAACCTTGCATTAAAGAAAAATTACTGTGTTTTTAATTTAGAACCCGCTGTAATCGCAAAAAGTAGCTTGTTAATAGACGTCAAACCCTGGGATGACGAAACAGACATGAAAGCCTTAGAAAATTCAGTACGCAGCATTACAGCCGATGGGCTACTGTGGGGAGCATGTAAGTATGAGTATACAAATCATCTGCTGGAAGCATTTTGTGTAACTGTATAAAGCATAAAAACCTTGCTGGAAGCATTATGTGTGACTGTAAAAGCATTAATTGCCCGACTGGAAGCATTATGTAAGACATACAGAGCATTAGTGCCTTGCTGATCAGTCAGGTGCATAATGCAAACAAGTTATTGTCCAAAATAACTCAAATGAGTTATTTTTTTGTCACAATGAGTTACCTCTCTTTGCTATTACCTACTTTTTCCCAGCATTAGCTCGTGCACCATGACAAAAACAAATGTTTGACTAAATTTAAACCTTGCTCAATGCAGAAAAAAATTTTCAAAGTCTTGGGAAAATTGGGGAAAAATTTTTATTTAATGATAAAAATTGGACATATAAACCATTTAGATAAAACACAAAAAAGAATTAAAATGCTGTTTATCTCCACCTCCTCACCAATTCTCCACTGGAGTAGGTGCATGCCATAAGTTATTATTAAAAAAAAGTTTGAACTTATTTAAATTATTTTTCTGAAAACTTGTTTGAGTTATGCCTCTGACTGCTGAGAGAATTATGTAGCACACTGTCAGGGGTGTGCAATTAGAAAAATCAATTACTAGCCCAGGGGCTAGTCGCAGCTATAAAGTTACTAGCCCCAAGTGAAAAGTTACTTGCCCAAATATAGGGGCAAACATTAAAATAAAAAAACTATTATTTTGAAAAGAAATTAATATTTGAAAAAGTCAGGGTACTGAAGTCATTCTTTTTAAAATTAAAGTTTAATTCTCACTATGAAATTAAATCATGAATGAATTATAATGAAAGAAGATTAAAATAAATTTTTATAAATTTAAATATCTTCCCTTTTTTCTGAACATTGCACTAGCTCATTTAGAATGAAATTTAATTCATTTTGTTTTCATCTCAAATCATTAAATACACTATAAATATATTTTATGTGAGTCATAAAACACTTATCTTTCAGTTATTTGAGTGATCGTAAATAATTTAATGAGATATCTGCATGTATTTACCATACACAAAAGAATAGAGGAAATTCGAATTAGGAAAAAAACGATCGTTTTTTGGAAGTAAATAAGTCAAGTGGTGCTGCAAAATAGATAAGATTATGGAGATTTATTGAGAGTAGGAGCATGTTGTCAGAAAAATTTTCACTGGTTGGGAATTTGATAGCAAAAACGAGTGAAAATTCAGGTTGTACTTTTCATGTATAATATTGCATGTGTAGTTATAATTTTTACTAGCCCGACGGGCCACCTCCATGCAGAAAATCACTAGCCCGACCCCAAATAGTGGTAGCCCCGGGCGTCGGGCGATGCTAATTGCACACCCCTGACTGTACAGAGCATTGTGACCCTGCTGGAACCATTATGTAAGACACTGTACAAAGCATTAGGACCCTTCTAGAAGCATAATGTTAGACTGAGTACAATGCATTAGTGCCCTGCTGATGCATGTAGAATTATGTAGCACTCTGTACAAAGCACAAGTGCCCTGTCAGAAGCATTATGTAACTCTATAAAACTATTGGTGCATCTTCCAAAGCATTTTTAGGATTCTCTACAAGCAGTATGGTCCCTGCTACAAGCAATAAATATGTAGGACAAAGCAACAGGGCCCCTGCTTGGATCCTTATGTAGGAGTAGGACTCTTAACAAAGCATTATGGTCCCTGCTGGAAGCATCATGTAGGAATCTGTGCAAAGAACTCGGGTCCTTCCTGGAAATATTAGGGCAAAAGAAAAATTAATCTATACTTTCTCAAGGCTAAAATTCACATTTCAATGTGGCATTTTTTTTTTATTTGGAAATTAACTAAATTTCAAACTATAATTTCTGTATAATTTGTGTGGTTTTAGAATAAAATTTGTTTTAAATAGTTGTATTTATTCACACATAAAGTGCACCAAAAGGCACACTTTTGATGTAAGAATGTTTGCATAGAATAACACATCTTAATTCAAAAAGAGGTGGATATTTTATTTGACGACAATACAAAGTTTTTCTGTTTATGTGCACAATTTCAAAATTATTTACTCTAAACGACAGGAACAGAAGTCACATTGTAATATTCATTCCCAAGGATTTCAAGCTTCGAATCACTGGCAGTTAATGAAACAAAAAATATATAAATACAAGGTTTTAAAATATACACTGTATAACACCGTATAAGTGGAAATTTTAGTGAGACGCAAATTTGGCAATTTGTCCTTAAAAACTGGTAATTTATTTTTAGCGAGATGTTATTTTAGCGATTTTAAAATGGACATTAAAGAAGCTATTACGAATAAAACTCGATAAATTTTTAATGTTATTCAATTTTAGCGATCTCGGCGCCCTCGCTAATAATGCCAAAATTAAATCCTTGCTAAAAAGTCTACTTATACGGTAATTCTGAATTTTCTTTTGTAGCAAAACTTGTACCTGTTGGTTATGGAATCAAAAAACTTCAGATCAACGCCGTTATCGAGGATGATAAGGTTAGTATTACATGTGTATGGAATATTTGGTGGAGGGCACCATGAAAAATGACAAAAAGATGGTGGAATTAAATGTAGGGAAAAGAGGAGATTGAAGAGAGAAATGGGGTTCTGAAAAGAGAAATAAAGAAGGACCACATATCCTTCATCCCCTTTATGTTTGCCTTGAAATGGAAAAAGGAGGGGGGTTAAATTCATATAATTGGATCTTTTTAAATTATGTCTTTTCTGTATTTTCAGATCAGCACAGATTTTCTAGAGGAGGAAATCACAGGTTTTGAAGATTATGTACAGTCAATGGACATTGCTGCTTTTAACAAAATTTAGCATCTGTGAAAATAAAAACAATATTTATACAATATGTTTTATTGTACTTGGGAAAAAGTAGTGTGCTTTTTGTGAAGTAGGATATATTATTTAACATCATTAATCTTTGAAATTTTATTTTACAACAAGAGTTCAATATGGCAGACAAAGGAAAATTGAAAAATTGACCCTTCTTCCCTGTATCCAGATTATATGGTAGAAGAAGCTATGGAAAATTTATGAAAAATCTGCTTTACGTCTTGGTGATTAGCAGGAACATGTTTCATGACAACAAAACGCAATAAATTATCTACCAAACGTGATTTTTTTAAACCCCCCCCCACGCTTCGCTGTCTCACTGTCGGTCCACCAACAGTTTCTGTTCATTTTCTTTGCAGAGGTTGCACCATCGTCTCAAGCCACGGTCCGGAGTCCGCATATAGCTCTCTCCTACCCGTGGCTGCTTGACCACAAAAAGTGTCGTAATCTTGAATATTTACGCCTCTCTATTGTAACATATTCAGTCAATGACAAGTTTTGTTTCCATCGCAATTGAAATCAACAATTTATACATTTGCAGTATTTCGTACACTTCGATTGAGTATTGAAAGGTCGCATCAAAGTTCATTAGCCGGCTATGCTTTACTCGCATTGGTCAAATAATTTAATGAACTATGAGAAATTAATTCTCTTCTCATTCAACCACGGCCAGAATGGGAGAGGATCGTACATTTTGGCCGTGTTTTGCGACAATGAGGTTGCACATACTGAAATGAAATTTGGTATAGAGATTATCATTTAGTCATGCCTCTAAGACTTAGAAAAATTACAATTATTTGCAGTTTCCGTTCATTTCCTTGCAGAGGTTAAAAATTGTCAAAATGAGATTTTGTCAAATGTGGCGTGTCCCATGGGTGACCTAATGTGAAAATTAGAATACAAATATTTATTTTTCTCCATTAGATTCACTGTAGAAATACAACATCGTATTTTGAGATTGTACCACGTGGTCATTCCATTGCTTACAAAAACATTGACAATTTTAAATTCAGAGTGTACAATCTCTTTGGTCCGCATATGCCTATTAATATTTTTGATTTATAGCGTAAATCCACAATCTTTTATGAACTCCTCATATACATGTACTAGTAAATGAGTAAAAATGTAATAATATAGGGCAGCGAGAAATTCAAAAATTGAGTGTATTTTTGGTGCTTTTAGACTTGTTAAATGTAAATACATGGAATATTTTAAAGTTTAGTGTGAGTTATTGGTGTGTAAATCACACTAAAAGTTGAAAACATCCCATATTAATATTAAGGTTGTTGAATAACATTACTATTTAGCGAAAGTTACGCGGAATATTAACGCGAATGTTATTCATTATAAGTACGAGTGTATAACGCAAAACTTTCATAATTATGAAGACGAACTGTGGACTCTTATAGTCGTATCGAAAGGGTTTGACCGGGCCAGATAAATAGAAAACATGAATAATTTATGCATTAATTCGCGAATATTTCGCATTTATTCGCAAAAGTTAACGTTATAACGCGAAAGTTTTGCGTTTATTCGCGAAAGTTACGAGACATAACGCAAAAGTTTCGTATCATAACACGGAAAATATTATTTTTTGACCCACGAAAATGACCTTTTTATGTTACTCATTATAAGTACGAGTGTATAACGCAAAACTTTCATATGAAGGTCTTGAAACATTGGATTTGGGATATTATGCATCCCCTCGAACTGTGGACTCTTGTAGTCGTATCGAAAGGGTTTGACCGGGCTAGCTAAATAGAAAACATGAATAATTTATGCATTAATTCGCGAATATTTCGCATTTATTCCCAAAAGTTAACGTTATAACGCGAAAGTTTTGCGTTTATTCGCGAAAGTTACGAGACAACACAGGAAATATTATTTTTGACCTTTTTAAAAATGGGCTTCCGTATATTTTCATGGTACATGTACCAATACAGTAAAAAATCACTAGACAATGGAGGATAATCATTCTTTTCTGAAATAGTTGCATTTTCATTCAATGTCTTCATATTAAGAGTTATTTTTTTAATAGTTACAAACAGCATTTTTAAAATGTGTTGAGTAAGCCTAGATGTAATATTTCGCTTATTTGCACGTTTGCCTTCCCATAGAAAACAAATGACGTATATTTCTTATGACGTCATTTCACATCGATCAAGCAGCAAGAAGTGATACGGTAAGTTGATTCTGTTTTAGGATGCTTTCGGTGCTTCTCTCTTATAGCACAGAGCCTAATCTTTATCGCAAGTACTAAAGCAATAAATATCAATAAAAACATAAAAAGAATATTTTGAGGAATGAGACGGAGTTTCTGGGCCCTATCCACAGGCGCTTGATGTTTTAACCTTTCTTTTCATTAGGCCTAATAAAAATATCCCCTAGATCTACTATAAAAATAACTAAATTATATGCGTAGGCCTAATATAGGGGATATTTTATTTATATGAAAAGAAAGGTTTAAAAACGTCAAGCGCCTGTGGGCCTATCGTAACGAAGGTTTGATCATATAGACTAAAGCAACCAGAACTTTCCGAGTGCTCAGTTCTCATAAAATGAAACAAGACGCCAATTGGCCACAACGCTAACCTTAGTATAAACTTTGGCCATGCTGTTATGATCCCTGTGGGTATAGGGTGAGGCCATAATTAGGGAACCCAACTATTACACTGGAATATATGCCAAGAACCACTGGGAGATCTTTTATTACTCATCTTCGTCTCAAGAACCACTGGGCCAGAAAAGTTGAATCCACACTTTTCAAAAGTTATGCCCCTTGGCCGCCATCTTAGGGGATAAACCCACAGAATCCTCACAGTACCCTTTGTAGTTTTCAGGTTTGTAACATTGTCATTTGACTGGGAAAAATAATTGCATAGTGTATACTGATTGCCCCATATAGATCCTTTTCCTATGGCATATTTTGCTTAGGAGTTATTCCCCTTAGCCGCCATCTTGTAGGGCAAAGTAGTGAATTTACCTCTTTGAGCAACCAATTCTTAATATGCATGCAAGAAATATATGTGGGAAAATATTTACAATTTTAAAATTATGAATTAATAGAAGCCTTGACAAACGTATATTCATAAGAAAAATAGTGTTATCTTTACCTCATTAACCAGTATAACAAATTGAACTTGGTTGAATAATGAAGGAATCTGGATATGTTGCCCTACAATATGGCGGCTAAGGGGAATAACTCCTAGACAAAATATGTCATAGGAAAAGGGTCTATTGGGGCTACCCACACATCCAAAGGAAACAATTTAATCATACTGACATAGTCCACTCAAATGTTTGGTAGCATAGCCATAAAAAGGAGAAATGTTGTTTCTTTCCCTTTTGGCCTTTTGGTTGACCCCGCAAAGGGAAACAACTTTTGTAAAGTGTGGATTGGTCCAACTGAAAGTTACGTGGAAGCATCCTGGTGCATGGTGTTGTGTAGCTTCTAGGCCTCAATTTGTTCAAATCATAATCCGCAGGGGTAGAGTGGGCCACAATAGGGAATCTGAGTTATGATTGAAATATATAGGAATTTTTTTTTTTTAAATCTTCCCAAGAACCACTAGGCCAGAAAAACTGAGACTTGTGTGGAAGCATCCTGGGGAAGTGTAAATTCTAAACTGTCCAAATTATCATTCCCGGGGTAGCTTTCATATTTGACAAGTGCATTACTTCTCACAAGATATTTCCGAGCATGCTATGATTTCTGACCCCTTAACCTTGACCTTCACGATTGACCATGTTGACCTAATTTTCAAAAAAAAAAAAAAAAAAAAAAAAAAAAAAAAAAAAAACCTTCCGTGATAACTTTTGAATGACATATGATAGAGCGTTCATATTCGTCACAATGTGCCATTAAAGATGAGATCTCACCCACAAAGACACTAGAAAGATGGGGATCAAGATTCTTTTAAATTTTACACGTAATTTTGCACGTAAGTTAGGGTGAACTTGTAAATGTTTAATCCATTTACTAGCTACAATAAATGCAGTTTGATATCTACATTCATGAAATATTTCAAATCTTCAAGAAGAGCAAATTATTGTTTTTATTAAATTTGTTTGCAATTAATCTTTCGTGTAATATTGATTAAATTTAATGTTTTAAAAATATCATGCACGTTTTTTAATAAAAAACGTTACAAATTCTTCCTATGTAAAAACCTTCGCTTTCTTTTTCTTACCACCATTGAATGCAGAGTAGGTAATGAAGTCACAAACGACATGCATGGATTGTTTTTGTGAGGAAAATGTAAACTTAACTCTAGATTCGTTTTCGAACAAACTACACAAGAAAAATGCGCGATCCTGGCATGTAACGCGTTAAAAAAAATATTTCTATTTATGTTGTAAAATTCTATATTTTGCATAAAATTTATTTGAATGTTATTTTCTGACTGGAATCGGGTAGTTCTATTCGAAACCTATCCATTTACGCCAAAGTCAACCATATTGCGAGTATCAGCTGTATTAAACTAGTTTAGTTGAAATATTAACCGAGGCTGTAAACTGGAAAGGTCTCAAGAATTATACAGAATATAATGGCACTTTCATTGCAGAGTACATGCATGTAAACATATTCATGATTTAAACAAATGTTAAATAGAATAAACATTTAAATTCATAAATAAATATCGTTCCTCATTAAAATAAATTCAATTTGTCTTTTACATTGTATATATTCTATATTATAAATTTATAATAAATATAATATTTGTCTTCATATCAACTTTTCATTCTTCCCCTTACATGAACTAACTATGATAAAAATCTTAGAGCGGCACGGATCATCACCCTTGGCTTTAGCGGAAAATAAATTCCCCTGTTTTTTTGCTGATAAATAACTCAAAGTCGATAAAAATTTCTATACATATATTTATATCTTTAACCATCTTTCCGGTTTTTTTTCAGTAATATATATTAGTTGGCCATTGGATGTGAGAAATTAAAGATTCGTGTTCGTTTTTATCTTCTTTTAAATATCTTGTGTTATTTTAACTGCCTTCTC